AGTTTAGACTCATCTATCTATCTATCTATCTATCTATCTATCTATCTATCTATCTATCTATCTATCTATCAATCAAAGTTTAGACTTATCTATCTATCTATCTATCTATCTATCTATCTATCTATCTATCAATCAAAGTTTAGACTTATCTATCTATCTATCTATCTATCTATCTATCTATCTATCTATCAATCAAAGTTTAGACTTATCTATCTATCTATCTATCTATCTATCTATCTATCTATCTATCAATCAAAGTTTAGACTTATCTATCTATCTATCTATCTATCTATCTATCTATCTATCTATCAATCAAAGTTTAGACTTATCTATCTATCTATCTATCTATCTATCTATCTATCTATCTATCTATCTATCAAAGTTTAGACTTATCTATCTATCTATCTATCTATCTATCTATCTATCTATCTATCTATCAAAGTTTAGATCTATCTATCTATCTATCTATCTATCTATCTATCTATCTATCTATCTATCTCAGTTAATTAAAGTTATGATCAATATGCCACCAACAGTGTTGGGAAGGTTACTCTGAAACGGGGTGTTGTATATTTCTCCTCCCAATTCATAAATCAAAATGTTACCTCATCAGGCACATGGTCCGAGTTTTAACACTCTTGCAGAGTATATTTTTGGACATGATTTCTATAACAAGAATATGATACATTTGACAAGGAATTGATTGAAAGAAACGTTTCAAGCAAGAAGATTCAAACACACAACTCTGATCGAAACCATTTGGCGGAGTGCGCGCGAGCTGAAGCATTGCCAGTCACATCTATGATTTATTAGAGATTTATCATCGAATGGCGAATTCAGAAATAATCGCTTTAATAAATTCGGCAGGCAATTATGTAATAATAATAATAATATTTAAAAAAAAACAGCGGTCCGCGCCTGATTTCCACAGAGACATGCAGAACGTGCAGGATTGATATTTTGTGTTTTTGCGGCTTAATACTCACAGACACCATAGTCCATATCGCGTTTTAATTACTGACCTACTTTTGATTTATTCATCCAAAATGTAGCATATTCCTTGA